GGAGCTCTCCAGGTCCCACCTGAAGGCTGGCGACCCTATTGCCACTCCATTTCCTAGGACTATCATCTTTTCGTGAACCTCACGGCACCACATATCATTTTGGTCCATCTGCTGGCTACCAAAAATCAGAAGCAGAATTTTCCTTATTACTATATTTGCAGACATACCTTTGGAGTCAGCAATCTGAAGCTCCTTGTCTACTGATAGACTAAGAGGATAAAGGAAACGGGAGGAAAGTATGGAGGACTCTGAGCCTCAGTACAGCATTTTCAGTGAAGGTCAGTGTTCCCTCTAAGCTGAGTTAGTGTGAGCTAGCTCTCAGTTTTTTAGCCTCCAGCTCACACATTTTTGTCTGAGCTCAGGCAGGATGGCTCCAGAGCAAACTAGTTTATGCAGTAGCCAAATCGCTCACTCACAACTTTAATGCCAGTAAGCTCACAAAGTAGAAACTTTGCTCACAAGACTCCACAAGCTTAGAGGGAGCATTGGTTAGGGTTACCAACTCCCAGTTGGGAAATTCCTGGAGATTTGGGGATGGATGTCTAAAGCCGATGGCCACAGTCTCTGAACAGACCGAAGTAGAAACAAAAAAAACTCTGCAGAAGTTTGCGCTAATAAATTTGAAATATTAATCAAAAAGATTTCATACAAAAGAGTATACAATATTTGTATAACATCAAATACAAGTGAAGACGGTGATCTCCGGTGTTCTGCCGTTTCGACACAAGTCTTCTTCTGAACAATGATGTATACATGGGGTGTCTCTCTATGTCATTTCAACTGATCCATCATCAACAATTTCATGGATCTCTCAGGATTATCTAATACATTGTAGAAACAGTTTCTAGAAACGCCTTTCCATGGGCGGATGAAGTTGATTTGCCTTGCAAGGAGCCTGTGGAGGGCAGTCCACCCTCCAAAGCAGCCATTTTGTCCCGGGGTACTGAACTCTGTCTCTTGGAGACCAGTTGTAATTCTGGGAGCTCTCCGGGTAGGCTTGCCAAGTCCCCCTGGAGGGCGGGGAAACCCTCGCCCCAGAGGCCCATTCCCCACCGCCGCTGGATCGGGCCCCGGTGGGAACTCCACCCCAACGTGCACGTCACCAGGAAGTGACGCGACCACGCCGGGCACGCTGGGGGCGGGGCCACAGTCATCCGAGGTGTCATGTCACTTTCTGGTGACGTGGATGCGGCGCGTGCGCACACGCACACTCCGGGATCAACCCGGGAGTCCCCCGCTCCGGAACAAGGTGAAACTTGGCAACCCTATCTCCGGGCCACACCTGGAGGTTGGCAATCCTATTGTCAAGTGATTGGGGGTTCCCTTGAGGAATGCTCCAAGGCATTCTGTTCCACGGCGACAGGTGGGAACGCATACAAAAGAAATGGAATAGC